CCCCAAAACCCCAAAACCCCAAAACCCCAGCTTTAAAAATCATTATAGGATAAGATGTAAATTAGAAGTTAATTAAGTAGTGAAGTTTGAGTATGATTCGATTGCAAGCATACATTAGTTGTATATCAAATTATATCAATAGTGATATCAACATAGATCAATCTTCTTTCTTTACTTCTTTATTAGTTTCCCATATATAATGGCTTGAGCTGCAGCTGTATTAGATATCACATTTTTATGATTTTAAGCTGCAGTAGTGCCTTTTGAAGGTATTTATTAGAGTGGCTGGAGATGAATCTAGCCTGTACCAGAGCCTAGACTGCTTGTGTTGCTAGAGCCCACATTTTGATTGCCTTATGCACTTCCAGAACTGGTGATTATTGCACTATTATCATTTGTATTTTATTGTTTCATCTATCGAATAATTTATTGGGGAGAGATGGTTCCTTAATTTTGATGAAGATGGACCATACTTCTTTAGTGAGGTGGCAGATTGTTATTAGAAGTTAAGGTGGTGTTTGATTAGTTAAGGTTCTTACTCGAGTTGCTCTATCCAATATTGGCAAGTACATTTGAAGATAATTAAGTCATATTCATTAACTGAGTTTGAGAATTTATATGATTGATTTGCTGCTGACTCTAACCTCCTCCTCTGTAATTATTATTTTACGATTCATCATTAGTCGCATCAGCTGTAAATCTTCGCATGGAAAATTTGTTTATTTTTGTAGTAGAAGTTAACTAGCTCTGATTGGGATGAATTTATGAGTTCGTGGTAGAGAGATGATTTGCCTAGGATTATGTTGACTTAAGACTCTGTTAAGAATCAGTTCTTTGTTAAGATAAGGTAAATTACTAGAACTTTGTGGTATGGTTGCCTTTTACCTGGTTAAATGCTATATGATTTACTTAGTTATTTCCTTATCTATAAGAAGCTGAGCTATTTGTATAAGGTCCGCTGCTATTATTCAAGATAGCTTTATTTATCAATGCTTGATTGGAATAGTCTACATTGATTTAATGTTAATTGGTTCCTAAGTAATTGACCTAGATATTATCTTAGTTAGAGTTATTTGTATTCAAAAAGTTTTCATAGTTATTTAAAGGAGCTGTTGAGCTCTGCTTTTTCATACTATTTCTGCTTTAGCTTGAAGAAGTTCCTACCTTAGATTTTATAACCTTAGCCAATTTATTGACTATATATTTGCTCTCATTTCCTTACTTACTACTTTACTGAGAGGCAGATGTAGTTAATCTCCTTTCATGTTCAGTTGATGAGGCAAGTTTATTTATCAAGCTATAGTTATTGAGCTTTGATTCATTAGCCATTAGTCCGCTATCATCTTTTTTCATTATATTACCCTAAGTCATACATTGCTAGATTTGATACTACTTCTTAGCAATGTTTCTAGACTGTATCTGGCTTTGAGATGTCATAGGTCTGGCATTTAGAGGGGTCTTTGATCGGCTTGTACTCCTGCTTTGAGATTGCTATAATGACTATTGGTTATTTTGATTGCTAGCTATTTAACATTGAATCTCAAGTTAAGTGTTCTTGCCAGCTTGCTTTGGAGCTTAGTTTTGATTCTCTCTTTTGCCTTAATTCTTCATTTGCTGATACTTTAGAGATTCTTTTAATAAGTCTTACTTTTTCTTCTTTGAATTGGAGTCAACAAGCTTATTCTGACTGTTAACTCTTGCAGTTTAGGGAACTAGCTTAAGCTTATGTGGAGAGTGATGCTTTCCATTTTCATCATCATTTTCTACTGAGAGTGATACCAAGGGATTTAACTCTCTAGATTGACATAGTAGATGCAGTCTATCACTAGCCTGTTTCTAAGGCATAAAATTAGCATTAGTGTAATTTCTTATAACCTCCTCAGCTGAAATTTTAGTTGGCTAATCAGAAGATAGCATCAAACTATTGCTGTCCTAGGTAGTGTTATAGAGATTGTTTTAGCTGTTCAAAAGATTCACTGCTTGCTTTAGATTTTATTAGGTATGATTCTATTTAGATTTGTTGGTATAGTGATCTCTTCCAGTCTTTGGGATGTTCTTAAGATACTATTGGTCCATTACTAATTACTAAGTACTATTTTCATACTCATTTTCAAATGCTTGCTGTTAAAACTGGAATAGTAGATTAGGTTGTGATTGAAGAACCCCTTAATTCAGATTTAGTTTTGATATCTTTTTCTCTACTCCCTCGTGAGCTTGATAATTAAGCTTTGGCATGTGCCCATCAATTGATGTAACTGGCACTCTACTTTCACTGAACACATCTTACTGATGCTAACTGCTTGTGTAATCTTACTTTCTTGTGATGTACTAATTAGTCAGTTATTCATCGGTTCCATCATTATTGCTGTACCCATCTTCATTGTTGTACTCACTGTCATCATCTATTTGTATTGGCCCATCATAATGCCTTTAATTCTTCTCAATAGGTTTTGCTTCTAGTCTCTTGCTATGTCTAGAATAGTTATCAATCTATATTTCAACATCACTTTCTCTAAGCTAGTCATCACTATCAAGATCTATCTTCTGATAGTTTATTCTTTTGTTTTAACTAACTACTGACTGTTTTGCCTTAAAGCTTTCTTACTTGAATTGTTTAACCACTCCAGCATCCATATTAGTGAATTCCTTTTCATCACTAATTGAACCGCCACTGCTAAAGATAGGATTGTTCTCGATCTCCCAAATGTTCTTAAGCATAATCTCCTCCATTTACTAGTGACTCTTCGCATTTACCAGCAAATGCTAAGGTGTTGATTCCTTTGGATGATGTCTCTAATTACTATCTAGATCTGCTAAACTTAAGTTTGGATGCTCCATAACTCTATTATCAGCTTGAGAAGATGTCATAAAGTTATCACTTAAGATTCTTTGCTGCTTCTTGTGACAGACAGAGTCTTTAGCGGAATTTTCTTAGCTAAGCAAGTTTATGCCAAGAAGCTTTTGCTTAGCGATACGCTGCTATTAAATAAGAGAATCCCTCTCATCAGTATGCGGGCTACTTATAGGGTTTCCAATCTCTGATTGCTTGTATTAAGGTGTTTAGAATTGACTTAATAGAAGTTCTGACTCACTTTGAAGCCTGAACTGATTCGAATTTAGGTAGTGATGATTTTCAGTGTGTCTGCGTGTCTGTGTATCTGCCCAGTTCTTTTTGGGCTTCACATGTATCTGCTAATGCTATTATCCGTAATCAGTATTGTTCGAATTATAGTTAAAAATGCCTGACTTCCCGCCTCCATTGCTATTCTGATGTTTTATGTTTGCTATCTGATCAAGGGTCAAGTTTTCTTTGTCCTCGCTGATTGCTGCAGCAGTTGCTGGATTTATCATGGACTAGTCACTCATATCGCTACTCGATATATCATCAATAATTAAATGGTTGACTTAGTGATGTTATTATTGCTGTTACTGATGTTGATTGTGAGATCCTAATCTTGATTATGCTGGTGGAACTTTTTTATTTTGATGATGAACTGGCTCAATAAAGTCTCTGTTAAAAGTTGATGAGGCTACTGAAATTCTTTGCTCTTGGAATAGCCTACTCTGTTTCATTGACTCTATATTCTTTTTTCCCGATAGTGCTGATTACTAATTTTACCTCTACTCTTGTACCTTTTAACCAACTGTATAAGAGTCATAATTTTTCCATATATCATCAATCATCATTTACATTATTAGCTTTAGATTATCTTTGAGTCCATCCTCCATTAAATCGATATTGCACTCATCATTATTAATGTTATTTTTATTTTCTTTACCGTTCTTTGATGGCCCAAGCGAGGGATTTTTATTTTGATAGCATGACTGCAAGAGTTACTAGTGAATGCTCTTAATTGCTCGTTCCTACGAGCATATAGACAGAATTATATCAAAAAGTTATTGCAATTTCCCCTGATCCTCAAGTGTAGAAATAGTAGACTTAAGGGAGTCAAATTTGGTAGCTTCTTGTTTAAGTCTATTTAAACTTATTCTCTTCATAATTTAAATTCTTAACAAATTTATTTTATATAAGCTTTACATTAATTGTTTTACACAAAAAAAACAACATACTTTTTGCAACGGGGTTTTGGGGTTTTGGGGTTTTGGGGTTTTGGGG